GGGGGGCGGGGACAGAGGGGCTGCCAGCCCGGCGCCAGGGGTCCAGGCGAGCACCGCCAGGTGCCCGGGAGGAGGCAAGCGTACCCAGTCGACTTCCGGGCCGCCGGCATCGCCGCCGATCACCTCCGGGGCCATGTAGTCCGGCGTGCCGACGGCCGCGCGCTCCTGGCGGTAGGGCGGTAAGGGGTGCTGGGCTCCGGCCGACCCGGCGAAGGGGTCGTCAAAGGGCCCGCGGCCCGAGTCCCCGGCCGCGGCATTCCCGATGCCGGTGCCGTCACTGCCGTAGGCCGACCCCCCGGCGGACCGGGGGAAGAGGAAGTCTTCGGCCGTGGCGCCGATGCGGGCCAGGCCGAAATCCGCCACCTTGATGCGGCCGGTCTGCGCGCAGAGCAGCAAATTGTCCGGCTTCAGGTCCCGGTGGGCGATGCCGCGCTCGTGCAAGTGCGCCAGGGCCGCGGCCGTCTGTGCGATGTACAGCCGGGCCCACAGCTCATCGAGGCTGCCGATGTTCTGGATGTGTTTTCGCCGGGGGGCATCATGGGGACGGGAAGGGGGCGGGCAGGCGGCCGGGCGGCCGGGCCGGGCCGCGCACGGCGGGCCGGCAGGGGCAGACGCAGGACCGGGTAAGAGGGCGAAGAGGGGGGACAGCAGGCGCGGGGCGGCGCGTGACCCGGCCTGGCCCGGCCAGAGGCCGGACCACCGAGCAGGCACGGCCGGCACACGCAAGGGGCAAGTGGGACCAGCGGGGGGCGGGGGGTGGCGGGGGGGGGGGGGGGGGCCCGCCGGGCGGGCCCCACCGCGCCCGCTCTCCGGGGGGGTCCGCGCTGTGCGGGCGCCCAGCCGGGGGGGGGGGGGGGGGGGGTCCCCAGCCAGCACATACCTTTAGCAGTGACGCGCAATCGCCACCGGCCACATACTCCATCACAAGGCAGAGGCTGCGCTCGGTTTCGAAGGCGTAATACATGCGCACCAGGAATGGGCACCCGATGCCGGCCTCGATCATGACCTCGCGCTCGATGCGAGCCCCGGCCGCGGCGATGGCCGACTTGTCTTCCTGGCCGGCGCCGGCCGGTCCGTCGCCGCCGGCGCCGCCGCCAGGGCCCCCGCCAGCCGCGGCGGCCGCTGCCGCCGCCGCGGCCGCGGCCGCGGCCGCCGCCGAGGCGTCCGTCGGAACCATCCGCTTGGGGACGGCCTTCACCGCGAAGAGGGCCCCGGTGCGGCGTTGCCGGGCCAGGACCACGCGGCCGAAGGCCCCCCGCGAAATGGGCTTAATCACCTGGAAGTCATTGACCGACACGCTGGCACTCGGCGGGGCCAGGAGCTTGCCGGAGTCGCCGACGTGCGGCAGGGGAATGCCGGCCCCCGGCAGGAGGGCCTGGCGGAGCTCGCTCAGGAAGTTGTTCTCCATGCTGACGCCGGCCATGTGGCGGAAGATCCCCCGGATGGAGGCCAGCGAGTGGCCCTCCAGGCGCAGGAGGGCCGGCGTCAGGAGCTTGCCCGAGGGCGAGCGCGGCAACTCGACGATGCTCGGGGCAACGCGCGCATGGGGGTCCGGCGGGGGCAGGGAGATGGGCGCGGCACCGGGCTGCGCATCGGCCCGGCCCCCGGCCAGGGCCCCGACCGGCATCATGACCGACGACCAGGACCGCTGCAATGGCAGCCGCGCCTCGGTGGACACGGCGTCGCCAAATTGCAGCATTGTTTCCTGCAGGCCGAAGGCCACTTGCGAGAGGCCGGGCATGCGCAGGCCCGGCCTGCCGGGCCCGGTCCCGGTGGCCATCCCCCCCCCGGGGCCGCGCTGGACATACGCCAGCTCCGGCATGCCCACCATGAGGGCCGCCTCGGTCAGCAGGAAGTCCCCGATCAGGTAGGCCTGGGCCAGGGCCGACCGGGCGAAGCGCCGCAGGGCCGGCAGATTCCGCGGGATGTGCGGCACGATGTCGGCCGCGTGCAGGGCCGCCACCCCGGCCGCCGCGTCGTCCGAATTGATGGCCCCCCGGTGGAGCGAGCCAAAGTCGAAGGCCGTCATCTCGGCAAAGTCCTCCGGCGCATTGGGCCCCTCCATGGTGGCGTTCCCATGCGCCAGCGGGTCCAATGTCAGCAGGGTCACATGCGTGCCCTGGGAGAGCAGGGCCCGGAAGCACTCGGCGCATTGGCAGGACTCCGGATCGGAAAGGGGCTCCTGCAGGTGCCCCGGCACGAAGGCCTGGTGCCGCAGGAGGACCTGCATCTCGCTGCCGTGGATGAAGAGCTTCGGGTTGGCCTCGATGAGATTCCAATCGGCCGGGTGCCGCGGAGGGGCCCGCGTCCGGCCGGCCAGGCTGAGGGACGAGGCGCCCCGGCTGGGCCCGCCCGACTGGGCCGTCTGGTGGTGCAGGCGCTCCCGGCCGTGGAACAGGACCACCGGGCCGTCCGGGGGCCAGGTGGCCCGGCCGCCCGGGCAGCCGGCCGGCATGCCATCCAATCGCAGGAGGGTTTTCACCTCTTCCAGGGAGTCGGCACTGGCCGGGCCGGCCAGATGCACCGGCGACTGGCAGCCACTGCTGCATGCACTCGCATGCCCGGTCGCCATGGCGCTGCTATGCCCGGGGCCCAGGGCGCTGGTGGCCCCTTCCAAGCGCAGAGGCTCGGAATGCAGATGCTGCTGCCCGGCCGGCAGCAGCAGCATGGCCGCCGAATCGTCCGCCTCGTCGTCGCGCTCGGCGCCGCTGTCCTCGGAGGACTCCGGCCCCGGGGAGGGGCTGGTGCTGCCGTCTTCCGCCCCCGGCCGGAGCCCCGAGCCGGAGCTGCTGCTGCTGCTGAGCTCGGTGTCGGCCTCGGTGCCCTCGTCATCGGTCGGCGGTCGCAAGCGCCGAAGGACCGGGTGGTTCCAGTAGGCCGGCATGGGGGCCGCGGCCGGGGCATGGCCACCCGCCGGCCACGGCGTCCCTGCCCCGGGGCTGGAGTCCTCGGCATAGATGTCCTCGGCGAAATCGGACACCATCCCACCGGCGACCGAGCTCCGGGGCGAGTGGATCAGCATCTCGGCCTCGGAGCCGGCACTGACAAGGGCCGATCCGGCGGCCATCGCCGGCGCCACCGCCATGCTCGCCCCGGGTGACGGGCCCAGGCCCGTGCCCAGGGGAGCCGGGCCCTCCGGCAACTGGACCTGGAGGAGGCCGGCCATGCTGGTGTGGGGGTCCTCCTGGTGCTGGGGCTGCTCCGGCGCCCGGTGCTGGCGGTGGTGCTCATGCCCGGGCAGGAAGTGCAGCCGGTCGTGCGGAAGCCCCGCCTGCGAGGGGTGTTGGCGAAGGGCATCCATGTCTTCGGGCGCGTGCATGTCCCCGCACTGGGGAACATTGCAAGCATCCCATCCCATGCAGCGGGCCTGGTGACTGGGCTGCTGCTGCTGCTGCTGCTGCTGCTGCTGCTGCTGCTGCTGCTGCTGTAGGGACTGCTGCTGTTGCAGGTACTGCTGCTGTAGGTACTGCTGCTGCAGGTACTGCTGCTGCAGGTACTGCTGCTGCTGCAAGTACTGCTGCTGATGTTCATGGTGCTGGCCCGGGTCGCGCTGCGAGTGCAGCGACTCGGCCGAGGTCTGACGCATGGTGCTCGAGGACTGGTCGCTGATGCGCGGGCTGATGGAGGCCACCGGCGAGGAGAAGCGCCCGCGCGGCCAGAGCGCCGGATCCGGCTTGGATTCCAAGCGCGACACCACCGCCAGCAGGGCCTCGGAAAAGGTCTTGCCATTGAACATGCCGAAGGTGTCGTTGCTGTCGCTGTTGAACTGCCCGGGGATGTACTCGCGCAGGCCGAGCTCATGGAAGTTCAAGTCCACGGACCAGCCATTGGCCAGGGAGCACTCGCGCGGGCTGTACCGCGACCGCCAGAGGTTGATCTGCCGGCAGAGCTCATTCAGCGGCGTCAGGCGCCGGTTGATGCGCGATGGCAGCAGGCGCGTGCTCTCGGCCACGAAGCCCGAGCACAGGGAGATGCGCATCTGCCCGGACACGCGCTCGAACTGCCGCAAAGCCTTGCGCATGTGCCGGGGGAGGCCCTTGCGCGCGCCGGAGCGGCCCAGTGACTGGATGACGGTCGTGGCCGGGAGGGCCGCCTGGCGGGGCTGGCCGGTGGACACCCCGGCCGGCGAGGTCCCGGTCATCGGCACCCACAAGTTCATGCGGACAATGGCCCGGCGAATTTGCACCAGCAGCACCAGATCGTCCCACTGGGGGGCACGCCGGGCGCCGACGCGGGACGACCGCCTGGGCGCCAGCAGCTCCGAGGGGTTTGGCGACTCGGAGAGGGTGCTGCTGGAGAGGGTGCTTGAGGTGGGCTGGTCGCCGGTCCCGGCGCCGGGGGTCGATCCCACCGAAGCGCTCTGCCGGCTGGCCAAGTGCGAAGGGTCCCCGGCCGGGGGCCCGGTGCTCGGCCGGGGGCTGGCGACCGGCGGCGCCGGCCCCGGCGCCAGGTCCGGTGACATTGGCGCCCCGCGATCCAGCGACCCGGGCGAATTGGAGCTGGAGTTTGGCGGCGACCGCGACAGGGCGAAGGCGTCCATGGCACGGGCGCGCGTGCTGCCCGGGGGCGAAGTGGGGCCCGGTGCCGCCAGGGCCCCGGCATGGCGGGCCCCCGGCCCGGGGGATGCGGCCGCCCCGGCGCCCGGCGTCAGCATGGCCGCCTCCTTGCCGGGGTCGCTGGCGCGCGAGGTGTCCGGGCTGAGGGCCGCGGCCGGGGAGGACTCCGTCGTCGGGGGCGTCCAGGGGGTGGACGTCCAGGACTTGGGGCGCTCGCGCGGGGGCCCGCCATTCCGGCGACCGGGGGCCGGGCGGCTCCGCGGCGGGTCCAGCTCGGTGGCCTGCGCCTCGGCCGGGGGCCCGGGCAGCTGCGGCAGGACGCCCGGCCGATGGGGCTTCGGCGCCTCGGGCAGCTCTTCGCCCTCCGAGGGCGAGGGGCTGGTCGGCGGGCTGAGGATCAATTGGGACCCGGTGCCGGAGGTGGGCCCGGGCGTGCCCGGACCCTCGCCGGCACCCGGAGGACAGAACTCCGGCAACACGCCATCCGACTTGGAGGCGGTCAACTTGGCCCGGCCGGCCTGGCGAGCAGGCCCACCCGAGGGGGGCCCATCCTCGCCGGCCCGCCGGCGAAGGGCCACCATGCGAGCCGTGGCATTGGCCCAGGTGCTGCTTTGTGGCAGGCCGCCGGGCGCCGGGGGCGGGGCCGTGCTGGCGCCGGGCCCGGCTGGGCCGGCGGGAGGGGTGTTGCCGGTGTCGCTACTGCCGCCGCCCGGTGCCCCTGGCAGGCTCCGGGTGGCCATGGCCGCCGGAATGGCCACCGGCGAGTTGACCATCACTTCGGCGGACGAGGAGCCATCAGCGGCCGGCGCCCCGGGCGAAGGGCTGGCCACCGGCGAGGCGAGGCCCGGCTCGGCAGGCCCGCCGGCAGGGCTGCCCTTGCGGCCGGCCGCGGCGCCGTGCCGCCGGCCGCCGGACCCCACCCGCGCCCGAGGGGCAATCATATGCCGGAGCTTGGAGAAGAGGCCGCCGCCACGATGGGAGCGGTCGCGTGCGGGCCCGGGCCCGGGCCCGGCCAGGCCAGTCGGACCGGCCGCCGGGGCGTGGTGGTCCGTGCTGGCCGATGCCCGGGCCTCGGGCCCATCCTGGCTGTGGCCCGGGTCGGCCGCCGCCACCGGTGGCCGGTGTTCCTCCTCCGGCGAGGGGGGCCGGACATCCATGCGCTCGGGGCCGGGCCCGGGCGTGCTGGCGGGCGCGCCCGCGCCCATGCCCATGCCCGTGGTGGCGGCCTCGGGCACCGGCACGGGCTCCTGCCCGGCCGTCGGGGGTGCCTCGGCGTCCGGCGACGGCGCCACATGCCTGGGCCCGGACCTGGAGGCGGGGCGAGTGTCCTGGCAGGAGGTCGTGGTGCTGGCGGGCCTGGAAGCATAGAACAGGTAGGCGCTCCGGTGGTAGCCACGGAGGACGTTGAAGAGCCGGTCGCGCGAGTCGCGTATCCGCCACAGGACCTCGGGCACGGGGAAGGCCCCGGGCAGGATGCGCACGCAGGCGGCCGCGTGTGTGGCGAAGTCCTGGAGCACAAGTGGTCAGTCAGTCGGTCAGGGGGGGAGGGGGGGGGGGGCGGGCAGGGGAATGGGCTGCCTCTTTGGCGGGCCGGGGGCTCCTCCTCCCTCGTCGCCGCCGCCGCCCACACACACACACACACACACACACACACACACACACACACACAGGCGCCCCATCCGCCGGACCGCCGGGATGGGGCGCGGCCAGCCACAGATGCCCGTCGGGCAGCCGCGCCGCCGGAAGCCCTCCCGCCGGTCGGCAGCGGGAAAAGCAAACAGCATGTACCTCAACCGCGATCGGGTATTCGCACAGCCGGCAAATCTCGCTCTCGGGCTCGGGCACCTCGGTGGACGTGGGAGACCGTGCTGGCGCGTCGCCGCGCGGGGGGGGGCGCCGGGCGCCGGGCCCGGGGGCCGGAGCATCGCCCGGGGCCGGCGGCGACTCGGCCACCGGCCCCGGCGCCCTGGGGCCGGCGCTCGGGGAAGTTGGCACGGCGGCCGCCTCTTCCATTGGCATGTCTCGGCCGGCGGTCAGGGCCAACGCCCAAGTGGTGCTGGTGTTGACCACCCGCTCGATCATGATGCGTGCCAGGCCCACCGCCTCCACCTGGAGGCGATCCAGCCGGAAGCCGGGCTCCGGCCCGGCGCCCCCGTCGGCCCGGTCGCCGTCGATGCGGCCGCGGGCATCCGGCCGGCTTGGATCCGTCTGGCCGGCCGGGGCCGGAGCCGCGGCCGGCGTTCGGGCCAGGCCCGCGGCCAGGCCCTCCGACGGGGCCCGTGTCACGTCGGCCGGGGCCTCGGGCCCGCGAGACCCGGGCTCCCTCGCGGGCCGGGACAAGAAGGCGGCCTCGCCACCGGAACGATGCCCGCTGGAAAGATCGTCCTCCTCCTCCCCCTCCTCCTCCTCCTCCTCCTCCTCCTCCTGCAGGTCGTCCATGGTGTTGAGGACCACCGACCGGAGGAAGCTCTCCTGCTGGATGTCCTTCTCCTCGACGTCGACCGTCCACCAGCCCCACCACCAGCCGCAGATGGCCGACTGGTTGTAGGGCGAGCGTCGGCCCAGCAGCGACCGGACCCCATGGAGGTAGGTGTCCACCTCGGACACGGGGGCATGGCTGCTGTGTGCCAGGCGCCTCCGGCGCCGGCACAGGCCCGATCGCGACACCAGCCCCAGCATCGGCGGTGGCCGGCCCGTGGTGGCCAGGTACTGGAACTGCTGTTCGATGGACATTCGCCGGCCGGCCTGCCAGGGGGCCGGGCCGGGGGCCGGCGCGTTGTCGGCACCGGCCCCCGGGCCGAGTGTCCTGCCCGATGCCGGGGGCGTTTTTTCCGCCTCCTCCTCCAGGCCCCCCATGCTGGAGCAGTAGCCATCCGAATCCCCGGACGAGGGCACCACCGAGGTGGTGTCGGCCCCGAGGGAGCTGCTGGACCCGGACCACCAGCCGCCGGTCGACATCGGCCGCCGATCGTCCGACGTCTGGGTGGTGGTGCAGCCGCCGGCGCAGCCCTCGTGCGGATTGTCCAGGCTCAGCCTGGCATCCGGGGCCGTGTCCCAGCCAAGGGGCACTCCCACGTGTGCGCAGCCGACATCCGGCGACCTGACCCTCATCGTGGCCACCCACACCGTGCTCAGGGGGAAGCCATCCTTCGAGGGCCCGCACACCAGCACGGTCCGGCACTGGAGGGGGACCAGCTGTCGGCCGGCGCGCGGGACCACCACATGGCTGCATTAGTAAAAGACCAGTTGGCTGGATGGGTTGACTGCTGCTCTTTTCCTCGCGCTGCTTCTCGCTCCCTCTCTCTCTCTCTCTCGTCTTGCCTCCTGCGGGGCGCGCCCTCGCGACTCGGCGCCTGCCCTGGGCCATTTAACCGCGGGCGGGGGGGGGGGGGGGGGGGGGGGGGGGGAAACCCGGCGGAAGGGCGCACGCACCGGGCGACAGATCTTGTCCCCCCGGGGGGTGGGGCGGGGCGGGACGTTCGCGTCATCTCACACAAGAGGCGCATCACCCCCACCCCCACCACCACCACCACCACCACCACCACCAATACTACTTCTACAACTACTACTTCTACAACTACTACTTCTACTAACACCACCGCCATGCCAAGGGGCGTACCCGTCCGGAAATGTGTCGAAAGAGAATGACCGACTCGATGAAGCCCTCGGCGGTGGCGGGGTCCGTCTCTTGGTCCGAGGAGGAAGTCGAGTGGGAGGGCATGGGCGCCGGGGAGCCGGACGTGGCCCCGGCATTTTCGGGCGTCATCGTGCCGGACCGCCGGTCCGCCCCATGGCGCTGGCGCTGGATTTCCGCCTGGTGCACTCGCCATAGCTGGACCAGCCGGGCTGTCACCGCGTCGAAGCTGGCCAACGACCGAGAAACAGTGCTGCCTTGCTGGTCGGCATCGGCCGGCGGGTCGATGGAGCTGAGATTGAGCCGCGGCCCGGCCGGATTGGCGGCCAGCGATGCTGCCCGGTCGTCGCTCGGGGCTCCGAGGAGGTGGACATTTTCATCGGCGAGCCGAGGCACGCGCCCGGCACCCGGGGGGTCCTGAATGAAGTTCTGAATGTATGTGTCTAGGATTTGGCTCGGGTCATAGCTGTGGCCCGTCACAGAGGGGCGGATGGCGAGGCCGCGCGAGGCAGTGCAAAGGGACCGGGCGAGGCAGGAAGGGCGTTTGCGAGATGTCAGTGCCAGGCGTCCTGCCAGGAAGAGGCCGAAGCCCGGGCATGGGGCCGCGTGCCGGGCCGCCCCCCCCCCCCCCCCCCCTCGCCCTTTGGGCAGCAACCAGGGCCGAGGCACGTGCCGCGGCCGCCGGACCCGGCAGGCGCCGCCGAGGCAATGCCGCCACCGGCACCGGTGTCCCTCGGGCCACGGCCCAGGCCGCCGGTCGATCGTGGCGAGCACCCTCGCAAGCCCCCCACGCACCCTAGAACATGCCGGACCAGGGGCGACATGTAGCGCAGGCGCCCGTCGATGGTGCACTCGAAGTAGATGTTGAGCTCCTGCAGCCCCTGGACCTGGGAAGTCAGCGAGAGCCCTGGCGCCTCGAAGATCACCGACTCGGGCGGCCCGACGGGCTGCGGCCCCACTTGCGGCAGCATGCCGCGGGGGCTGTGGCCGCGATAGGAATCCACCATGGCCGGCGACATGTTGCCCCCCGCGAGGCCCATGCTACCATCCGGCCCCACGAGCAACGGCTCGGCCGTGGGCTCGCCGCCCCACTGGCGATAGGAGCTGGAATGCGGCACGCCGGTGTACTGCCGAGTCCGGTGGGTGGATGCGTTCCAGATGTCCGGGGGGTCGGCCGCCTCGGCGAGCCGGATGCCCGGCTGGCTGGCCGGCCGCGGCCCGTGCCCGGAGACGCTGAGGCGCCGGCGGAGATTCCCGGCCGCCGAGGTGGCCGTGTCAATTTGGTTGATGATCTTCACCAGGCCACTGCGGTGCTCCACCGGCATGAGATTCAGCTCCGGGCGGATGTCCAAGATCCGCAGGTTGGTAATTCGTCGGGCCAGCTGGCAGCAAGCCACCAGCAGTGAGAGAACCCAAAAACGCCCCTCCAGCCGGGACTCCTCGCCGGGGCTGAGCTCCCGCCAGTCGAACATCTGATTGCGATACCAGGAGTAAAGCATCCCATGGTGATCGTTGCAACAATCGCCGGGGATGGCGTCGCCGCGGAAGGCGTCCCGGTCGGCGGCCTGGCTGCCGTTGGGGCCGCCGGCCTCGGCCCCGGTGCCGTTGGCCGGGGTGCTGATGCCGCTGCCGTGCGAGTCGTTGCTGGCCTCGCCGTCGCTGGAAAGGACCTGGCGATACCGGCAGTCATTGGCCCGGCAGGTGGGCCACGCCAGGACCACCAGCTGCAGAGCGCGCGAGGCCCGGGTGAGGATCTTGTCCACGGCCGCCAGATCGCGCGGGGCCGAGAAGAGCCGCGTCAGCCAGGCGTGATGGGTGTCGAGCGCGGCGCCGGCCTGCGATGTGGAGGTTGTGGAAGCCGACTCGGATGTCGGCGGCGTGGAGTAGGCAGCCATCCGGGCCCGCATGCCATGGAGCGGGTGCCTCCGGCCGGGGGTCAGCCTGGCCGAGTCGTACACCAGGCGACCGGGTTCCGGCATGGCGCCATTCTGGAAGGCATCGCGGCGCGAGCCCCGGCGCCGGCATCGGAGCTGCTGCTGGCGCCGGCGGACATTTTGCAAGCGCCGCTGATGCCGGGCCACCAGCTCGGCCGACATGTGCACCGACCCCAGCGAGGCGATGTCCTCGCACACCATGCGCAGAAGCCACACGAGCGTTGCCCACAGCAGGCGCGACTGGTCGGCCCGCTCGGTGTCCGACGTCAGGAGGACGGACCCGCGCAGGGAGAACCCCATTTCCGCGGGCGGCGGCTCGGGATTCGGCATGGACCCGGCGTCGCTCGGCTCGCCATTCGACCATCGCGACGGGGGGGCGCCCTCATGAAACCCCTCATACAGCCCGCGGTACAGGTCCAGCTCGGAGTCCGGGACCTTCCACAGGCGCAGGAGAGCCTGCTGGGCGAGGCTCAGCTCGCGCACGGGATTCGTCGGCGGCATGAACCGCGGCAGGGCTGCCATGGCCCGGTGCATTTGGAGGTGGATCCAGGGCCACAGTGCGGGCGGGGGCGGGGCGGACCCCAAACATTCGCGACCACGGCGGGCGGTTAGACATGGCCGATGGCCGATGGCCAGGCGACCGGGGCCCGGAGGGTCCATGGGACCGGCGTACCGGAACGAATGCGCGATGACAGATCCTGGCAGGCATTGAGGGTGATGATGTAGCGCTGGCGTTGGGTCCGGTAGACATGGAGATACTCGGATACCTCGCGCATCTGGAGCAGGTCCTCCAATGGGCAGCGGCCGTCATCTTGCCCGGAGAAGTTACCATCGCCGGTAGCCGCCTCGGGACCAGCAGCACGACCGGGGCTCATGCCTGGCAATCAGGATGCCTGTGTGTCTGGGG